AAATGACATAACTGAGCGAATGACACTTAATGACAGTTGTCATAAACATGCATAAAACCTCCTTCATGTGTCATGTCAGTCTTATGCACACCCCTTCAAGTAAAGTGTTACCTTTTTTTTCTGTGCAGTGGGTAAATGTAAAAAATAAGTTTTTTTTATTTTTTATGATCAGCCTCAAACTACTCAAAAATGCCATTTCGGTCCGGTAACCTTAGATGTGCATGCACTTAATCTGCAAATGCGCAATATTTAATGGAAGTGAGCGGGAGGCGAGAATACCCTGAGAGAAAGATCTTTCAGTTAGTCTTGCATTAAAATGATGATTGATCGCTTGAAGAACCTTTTGAAGCACCTTTGTTTTTAAGAGTGTATAACGGTATAGTTGTTTAACTAAGGATTCAATTAAAGTTAGCCAGGTCAGCCCATCTTGTACTTAACAAAATATATCATTTTAAGCAATTAAACAGTGTGCCGTTCCATCATTTTATTGCATTGAGCATCGGTGAAATCTACGCAGTATTTGATTAACAATGAAAGTTGAGAATCACAAAGCCACAACAGCAGTCTTATCTAGGTTATAGGATTATAGCCATGCTGGGAAAATACTGTCTTTGCTGCAGATCCATGGGTTCGGATTAAACCGAGTTATGGGTCACTCCATGTGAATGATGTTTGGAAACAGCCACACTTTCGATCTTTAAGACCCATGTTGGGGGAAATTGTCCAATTCATTGGATAACCAAATGACGGCATTCTGAAAACTGGAATGAAGCTTCAAAACATCCACACTTTCGAGTGCCCTATCTAGGCTTTAAGACCCATGTTGGGAAAGTCTGTCTTTTTAGGGCGGTAACATTGGTTCTGATTTAAACCATGGACATTTTACAGTTCACTGCAGTAAAGCATGTCATTTCAAACGTTATGTCAACACACTTATGTCTATAATAAATGTGGATTCTGCAAATTGGATTGGAATAATGTCTTGAAACCTTCACTTTAAGTGCAATAAATGGGCTACAGGATCCATGTTGGGAAAGACTAACCTGTGAACCAAATACTGTCCTTTACCATCTCAGCATGACTTTATGGGCTCATCTGGTGATCATAAACAGGTGTGTTGAACAATAAAGTGCGAGTTGTTGAGTGGTTTGCAGCGCTCTCTGTGCGCTTTATACGGATTGTGAATGTTGTCTGGAGAGAAATGGGAATGTGTGAGGTGCTCCTCTGGAATATCCTCATTCTATAGTGCTCAACTGGATGCATTTGGAAACGAGAAATAATCGCCTCGGGTCACTAGAGAGGGGTTATTAAAGATGAAAAAAGAGCAAAGAGCTAATGCATCACACGACGACCGTATCTTTATAGGCGCATATGCGAACGCAAGCAAAAATGGAAACATTTTCCAACATCCTTATGAGGTGGCTCGCCACTTTTTTTCTTTTTAACGAAAGGTTGTTTAATAAAACATGCTGGGGCTCTGCTAGTCTTATCTCCGACTAGAAACCGGTTGCCAGCGATTGCATCATTCCTTTCATGTGACTCCCTTACGCCCCAAACTCGTCCTGGCCGTCTCATGACTGCATCACATCTTCCTGCTGCTCACACTAACCCAACCAGCAAAGTCAACAAGTCCCGCCCAGCGAGGCTGCTGATTGGATGTCTCTAAGCAGAAGAATTCCGACCGCCTCGCGCGATTGGTGCACGCCTCCGACCATCTCCTGTCAGTTCCCCATAATCTCCACCTCTCTGTGCGCTTTATACGGATTGTGAATGTTGTCTGGAGAGAAATGTGAATGTGTGAGGAGCTCCTCTGGAATATCCTCATTCTATAGTGCTCAACTGGATGCATTTGGAAACGAGAAATAATCGCCTCGGGTCACTAGAGAGGGGTTATTAAAGATGAAAAAAGAGCAAAGAGCTAATGCATCACACGACGACCGTATCTTTATAGGCGCATATGCGAACGCAAGCAAAAATGGAAACATTTTCCAACATCCTTATGAGGTGGCTCGCCACTTTTTTTCTTTTTAACGAAAGGTTGTTTAATAAAACATGCTGGGGCTCTGCTAGTCTTATCTCCGACTAGAAACCGGTTGCCAGCGATTGCATCATTCCTTTCATGTGACTCCCTCACGCCCCAAATTCGTCCTGGCCGTCTTATGACTGCATCACATCTTCCTGCTGCTCACACTAACCCAACCAGCAAAGTCATCAAGTCCCGCCCAGCGAGGCTGCTGATTGGATGTCTCTAAGCAGAAGAATTCCGACCGCCTCGCGCGATTGGTGCACGCCTCCGACCATCTCCTGTCAGTTCCCCATAATCTCCATTAGGTTGCGCCTAGAGATCCTCCCCCAGAGTTCGGTTGGAGTCTCTCTATAAATGTCCCCGGGAGTTTCCGAAACCCACACTCGGTGACTTCAGCTGAACAATGGTTAACATGAGCTATCGACAACCTCTACAAAAACACACGCAGACCCTGAATCCGAAACAGCCGAGGAAAAGAAATAATAAAAAGAAAAGGGTGAGTGTCACCGCATGCTTCGGCGACTACCCCGAGCGTCTTTTGGAATACAGTTGCTCAACTTTTTAAAGTTTTCTTTATTTAACGCAACATTGTTGCGCTTTATGTTCCTGTTTAATTATATTTACGCTAGAGTCACTTGCTACGAAACTTTTCTTCGCGCTGACAGCTGTCACTTTCTTGCGATCGCGGCAACTTTGTAGCGCACGCTTGATTTGGAACGGTTTGTTACATCGCGCGCCAGCGGAACGCTACTTTGTAGACTTCGAGCAAGCAAGCGGATGCGGTCGTAATGGACAGCCCGATGTGTTTTTGCATCGCTGAAGCGCTTTAAACGCGTTATTTATAAACCCTTTGTTCCTCACTCCTGTACTTTGATTCCATGACGTCATTGGCTCGCTGTCAGTTTCGTGAAGCGCCGCTCCAGATGGGCGCAATTAAGAGAAACTTCGCCTAAACTACTTAAGCGTTTCATTTTAAGGCGTTTTAAAATAACCGATTTATGATTTAGTCGCTGTTGGGAGTAAGCCAGACAACAAATAACCGGCACAACATCCTTAAACGATTTACTGACAGATTAATAATTGAAAAACAATAGTTTTTAGTTATGACGCTTCACTCCGCGTTAAGATTTGTGTTTAAAAAAAAACAAAAAAACCACAGGAGTGCCTCAGGGCTTTGTGTTAGGGCTGTTTTCATTCTCACGCGGACATCTAAAGTAGCTCGAGTGTCCTTCGCTGATCGTATTTATAACTCCGAGATGAGTTCTGGATGTTTTTTCAGCTGAACTCGGACGTCTTGGTGTTGAGAACGAGTCTCTGGGCTGTTTTGACTCACGCAGGGGGCGCCATCGAGCACATAATGCGCATTTGTTTACATAAATACAATGACCTAATTTTAGATTAAAGATTACAGAATCAATAATCGTTATGGGTCATGTGAATGAACATCTGATCAAGATCCAAAAGTCCTTTATGTTTTTCCATTGTTCTTTACGGCTTGTGTGTTTCTCAGCTGAAATGTGTTTTGCATGAGAATGCTTTTTTTTATTTTTAAATAGTTTTGGAACCATGACCTTGTGGCTTGAGCTGTTCCATGTTTTATTTCTCTAGAATCATTGGGACAATATACCGCCAACAACTCACATTCAAACTTGATTGTCAAGAGACACGTTTAAGGTGAGCATTTTTAATTTAATAACTAAACGTAATGATTTAAATAAAAAACAACAAACAACACTAAACAGACCAAAAAAATATAATAACCACCAAACATTCTCAATTCATGCATGCACTGTTTCAAAGCTCTGGGATTGTTGTTTGTTGTGTAGTGATGCTGGTTGGCCGCTATGTGTCCTTGTTGCACCGGGTGGCCGAGCAGTCGATCTTAATGTCGCGTATAATAGCGGGTCACCCAGATAAATCAGCTATTCCCAAACCCGCCAGCGCAGGTGAAGCTAGACTCCGCTGATGCACCGAAGCTCCCACTAGACGTGCAGCACAGTACAGCATACAGAGGTGGTTTTCCACTTCTTTTAGACAGTTTGTCCGTTTTTCAGGTCTGGTGTGCTAGGTGTGGGAGCATATCGTGTTGTGTCTGTGGATAGCGACTGATTGGTGCGATGACTGCGGAGTGGCTGTGCCCCCCTGGCGTGGGGCCGCTGTGTGGTGCAGAGTTGGAGGCGTGGTATATGTGTTTTGCATGAGAATGCTTTTTTTTATTTTTAAATAGTTTTGGAACCATGACCTTGTGGCTTGAGCTGTTCCATGTTTTATTTCTCTAGAATCATTGGGACAATATACCGCCAACAACTCACATTCAAACTTGATTGTCAAGAGACACGTTTAAGGTGAGCATTTTTAATTTAATAACTAAACGTAATGATTTAAATAAAAAACAACAAACAACACTAAACAGACCAAAAAAATATAATAACCACCAAACATTCTCAATTCATGCATGCACTGTTTCAAAGCTCTGGGATTGTTGTTTGTTGTGTAGTGATGCTGGTTGGCCGCTATGTGTCCTTGTTGCACCGGGTGGCCGAGCAGTCGATCTTAATGTCGCGTATAATAGCGGGTCACCCAGATAAATCAGCTATTCCCAAACCCGCCAGCGCAGGTGAAGCTAGACTCCGCTGATGCACCGAAGCTCCCACTAGACGTGCAGCACAGTACAGCATACAGAGGTGGTTTTCCACTTCTTTTAGACAGTTTGTCCGTTTTTCAGGTCTGGTGTGCTAGGTGTGGGAGCATATCGTGTTGTGTCTGTGGATAGCGACTGATTGGTGCGATGACTGCGGAGTGGCTGTGCCCCCCTGGCGTGGGGCCGCTGTGTGGTGCAGAGTTGGAGGCGTGGTATGAAGACCTACAGGATATACTGGGCTCCGACGCGGGCGGGGCCAAAGTAACGAGAGCCCCACCTTGCTCCGAGGTCAGTAACGTCAAACGGCGCTCAATGGTCGCGTCTTGTAGACTTCACAGTTCTAACGGTTTCTCTTGTTATGCAGAAGGAGCCCGAGTTTCTGGATGTGTTGGAGAGCTGCTCGCTCACCTGGTTGACGGAGGGGCAGGTTTGGGGCGACGGGGTGCAACGGGTCACCGATGAACCGCCCGTCGTCCAGTCGCCGCCGCGAAAGGATGACCGGAGAGGCGGCGACTCGGAGCACACCTCATCCGGAGGAGACCTGCTTCCGCCAGAGTTCTTCGAGCTCCTCAGCGAGGGCGGCGTCGGGTCGGTGGAGACGATGGTGACTGCCGGGTACCACGTTTCGCATCACCCGCCTCCGTCGCCATCCGCGAGCGAGGAGGAGCTCCTGACGGTCCCAGACACATCGTCATCCTGCTCCTCGGCGTCCTGCTCGCCCTTCCTCAACCGCTCCCCGCCGCCGTCCCCTCCTGCGCGACCGGGAAAGAGAAAGCGGGCCGGCGACAAAGGAGGAGGCACGCTGTGCTCCCCGTCCCCCGGGAAGAAGAGCCGACGGGAGCGCGAGCATGAGAACGAGAGGAAGGTGCAGGAGCTGACGGATCAGAACGAGCGGCTCAAAGCCGAGATCGAGCGGCTGGGAGAGGAGGTGCAGCGGACGCGCCGGGCGCTCATCGAGAGACTCGTCAACACCAGGAGGTGAAGGAGCGACAGGAGGAGCCCAGGGGCCAAAGGGAAACAAACAATTGGCGGAAACTCATCTGGCGGTGACTGTGAAATGCACATTTAGAGGGAGATAAAAGACATGTGGGACGGGGGGAGAGAGAATAGGTTCACTGAGTGACTCCCGCCGAGAGAGAAAGAGAAAGTCAGATTAAGCCGTAGAAAAGAAAGAATGTGGAGCCCAACGGAAACACGGACCGAACTCAGCCCGAATGCAAAGTCAAGAAGAAATTTGATAAATGTTTAGTTTTTTTTATCAGTATTTTAGTACATTTAAATCGGCGTGATACATTTAAATGAACATCCTTTAAAGGCAAATGCTACAACGTGTGTTACAATTTAACTAATTATATTACAAATGAATTGAAGAATGAGTAATAAAAATATCAAAAAGCAAATAAAAAAAAATTTTCATAAAGAAAATGAAGCGTCATTTTAATTAAGATTTTTTTTACAAATTTTTGCAGTAAATTAAAATGACTAATGCAATAAATTAAAGGCAAATACTACAATGTATAAATGTTACAATTGAACGAATTGCATTACAAAATAAGATTTGCATTACGGCAATAAAAGCAAATAAGAAATTAGATTTTTTGAAGCCTAATTTAAGGAAAAATCTAAAATGACTAATGCATTTCTTTTAAAAGCAAATGCTAATGTTATATATTAATGTTACAATTTAACAAATTATGTTACAAATGAATTAAAAAAAATAAGAGTTGCATTATGGCAATAAAAGTATCAAAAGCAAATAAGAAATTCGATTTTTCACAAAGAAAATGAAGCCTAATTTAAGGAAAAATCGTAATGTTTTTGCAGTAAAATGACTAATACATTTTTTTTTTAAACATTTAAATCAGCATAAATTAAATGCAAGTACCTTTATGATGTATAAATGTTACAATTTAATAAATGACATTACAAATAAAGAATAACTTGCATCACAGCAATAAAAATATCAAAAGCAAATAAGAAATGAGAAAATGAAAAAGTTTTTTTGCAGTAAATTAAAATGACTTTAATGCAATGTTTTAAACATTTAAACCAGCAAAAATGAAAGCCCGTGAAACAAGTACTACTGCTTCTTTACGAATGTTTTTAAAATGAACAAATTAAAGAATGAGATATTTTGCATTACATTAATCAACGCGTGCGATTGTCATTAAAAAAATAATCACAATGCAAAAAATTGTAATGCTACTAAAACCGCCTTTTTTCTTTGCATTCGGGTTGTTTTTGACCGGTTTTGGTCTGATAATAGCACTGTAATGCACCAACGTTTATTAAACTACCCAAAGGTTAATCAACCTTCGGTGTAATTGAAAGCTGATTGTTCATCAGTGCCGAGGAGTCTTGAGGGAATGTAGCCGAGACGACGAGAGAAAAGGCAGAACTGCAATAATAAAGAGAGAAGAAGAGATCTGATTGTATCAGTGACGGTGATTGTAGGTGCGTTTCATTGTAAGCAGCCAGTTTTAATTCACGTCATGTGTTAACGAAGGGCTTTAACCGTGTAAATTCACCCCTAGTTGACAGAGATTAGTAGCTCAGGACTGTTATAGTGAACGATTGTGAGCGTTTCTCACCATCAACCCGAGGCCTCTAAGAGTGTGTGTGTGTGTGTGTGTGTGTGTGTGTGTTCAGATGACGGGGATATTGCTCTCACTTACTTCTCTTGAAACTTTTCCAGAATTTTTAGAACTAGCAGTTTATAACATACTCTCTGCCTCATGCCTATTTTTCTATATGTGTATCATCACGACATGTTATCATTTACTTTATATTGTAGTTTCCTAATCTTACAATAACCATGCATGCCGAATTACTGTATTAGAGTAGAAACATTTTTATCTGAATTTGATTTAGCCTTACTGAATACGGAATTGTATTACACTCATTTTGTTATTAAAATCTTAAAA